CCCAATGCTATTTTACAGTTTTGGAGCTTGTCTTCAGATCATGCTTCCGGTTTGTAAGATGTATTACTTAACCTCTTAAGTTTTTAACATTGTAATAATTCCTATTTTCAACATTTTTATTTGATATATTTTCTGCTCTCTCTGGTCATGGTTTACTATCTTGTGTTGCTTACTGACCAACCTCAACCTCTATAAGCTTCCTGAACTAACCGGCTTGAGACCTGCTTCATGCCCAGCCATCAAAGGTCGGTTGAGTTCTTCTGTTTTCCATTCTCTTTATGTTCCCTCCACTCTTCCTTCCTCTTCTGCCTTTAAGGGCTGGTGCAATTTCCCTGGACACACTTGAATAATCTGAATAATCTCTCATGATTTCTCTATTTTAAAATTAGTGCTCATTTAAGCTGGTAATTTAATGATATCCCTCTTGAAAGTCCCTTTCTATCCATAACTATATTAATGTTTCCTTGGACATCTAGGTACTGAGACCTTGAGGGGATATTGAAGTATCATGCTTACCATGTTTACACTGATTCTAGAAATCTCTTCTACGTTTTCAGATGCTCGTCTTTATGGTGTTATGCCCTGTATTTAACAACTAGACTACCCAATCTCTTTGTCATGTAGATTTCACTTATTTTGCTAATTTTAGGTCATGCACATTACTTCTATCTTGGTAGAATTTGTCCTTTTTTATCAAAAACATTACACAAGGGGGGGCTGGAGCGATGGCTTAGCAATTAAGGGCCAGGCTGTAGAGGCATGAGTTCAAACACCTACCAACATGTGAAAAGTTGGGCACAGCTGTATGTTCCTATAATCCCCTGCGTTGGGGATGGCAAAGAGATGGGAGCATCTCCAGGCTCCTCAGACAGCTGAAAGTTCTTGTATTTTGAAAATCCTTTTAATTTCTTCCTATTTGCTATTTCTAGTGACAATGGAACTAGTGTGAGTTACCTCTACAAAGATGACCATGCTTTTGATACTTGCATTCCCAGAATTTAGCTAGAACATTTTTTTTTCTAGATTAAAATGGTTACTTTGGGTGTAAGATGACAGTTCTAACTATTTTCTCTTTTAGGCTGTGTTCCACTGGTAAAATTGGCTCATTTCTCTTGATTTTACTGTTTCATCCCTAGCATCCACCTCCTACCAAAAATAAGTGGAAAATCCACTTAAGGTGGTAAAATCTGCATACTCAAGTACACATAACAGTCAGCCCTCAAAGAAACCAACGAAATTTTGGAATAAAAGTATCATCATAAAGGCTCTTTTATGGACATATATTTTAGTTTTTAAGAAATCCATATACTTATACAACATATTTTTATCATAACGACTCACTACACACCTCTACTCTCCTAGACCCCACTGCTCATAATCCTATCCCAAATTTGTCTCCCTTCTTCCTGTCTTCTCTTCCCTTCCTCCTCCTTCCCCTTCTCCTTTTTTTTTGTTTCCTCTCCTTTTCCCTTCTTCTTTCCTATTACTCCTTCTTTTCCTTTTTCTTCTTATTTCACATAGTCCAAATTAGTGCTGCTCTATTTGAATGGGTGTAAAGTTTGGGCATTCTACCACAGATAATACTGCTGAAGAAAACCAACTCTCCCCTCCCTTTCCCAGAAGCCACCAACTGTTAATAAGTCTTCAGCTAGAGGTAGGGCCTAGTTGAAGGATGTTGAAAAATTGATGGGCTTGATCTAGTCAATAGTTAGCTCTCTCTAACTTCTGGTTCTTACATTCTTTCTATCCCCTCTTCAGTGATCTTCTCTGAGCTTGGGGTCAAGGAGTGTGATATATGTCCCATTTAGGGCTAAGCATTTCATAATCACTATTCTCTGCACTTTGACCAGTTATCACGAATGTTCTCACCAAATATGGAACAGAAACATATTCAACAATATTTTACATATAGAAAGGATGTCACGGCACAAACAAAATGCCGTGATATTGTTTAATCAGCTGTCTGCAAGAATGTTAAAGAGGAGCATTTGTTGAAAGTCAGTTTCTCTACTTATAAGGCTGAAAAACAAAGGCATGGAAAGCAAGTAGGCAAAGACATCACACACATTAGATAGAAGGGAAGTCAGGATCTGGAGACACTATTGTGTACAGTAGTAATCAGGGCAAATGAAGGACACACATGTGCCAGCAGAGCCTTTGCAGTGCTTGGCTGAACAGTAAAAGGGTAGTTAGTGAAACTGCTATTATTATCCAGACAAGATCTGATCCTAAGTAAGAGACTGGAAGTTAAAGTGACAACGCTTTCTACCTAACCTTTAAGTGATGCTCAAGATAATAGCAAAAGAATACGTTCATAGAGGGTGGGTGGACAGGATGTGTTTGATTGTGTGTTAGGAGTGTCATTAAGAAATTTCAAAGGCTGCATGAATTCCTCAGATTTAAAAAACTTGAGGGCTTTGATACAAAAGGGATTAATGTGAAATGAATCAGTCAGTTCTGCTATCTCAACCAAACATAAAGATATGGCAAAGAAGCAGGATGGCTCAATTAAACAATTTCAGGGTATTACTTTTCTTGTACTCAGATGGCAGCTGCAGGAAGTAATACATGAAAATTGTTCAAGCTGAAATGCTGAGATCACTTTCCTGAGAACAAAACATTCGTGACCATTTGAAAAGACATTTTAGTTTTGCATGATAAAGATGCACCTATCATATGATAAATTCAGCAGTGATAACTAAATGAATAGAGGAGAGCAGAATTTAATCAATATTCCTGATCATAAATAAGAGTGCAACATACAATAGAGAAAAAAATAAAGAAAGAAATAAAAATACATGATTTTCACAAGGCAGCAGTACTATATTTTATGATTTAAAATAAAAACCTTATTTGAAAATATGATTGGTTTTTTATTGATTAATAAACACAAGCAATAAAGATAACAATTCATTATTTTAGAAGAAATAGCTGACAGTGCTTGAGGCACCAAGAACTTGAGACTAGGTAGTCCAGGGACCTAGGATAAAACCAAATACTAAAAAGCAGGAAACAGGAGGTAGTGATAAAATAACTCCTAGTGATACTCTGCTATACTTGTAGACCAGTGCCTTGTTCCGCCATCATCAGAGAAGCTTCCTCCTGCAGCAGGTGGGAACAAGTACAGAGGCCCACAGCTAGACATTAGATAGAGAGTGAGAGACCTTGGAACACTCAGCCCTGAGTGGGATGTCTCTATCAAATCCTTCTCCTCAAAGCTCAGGGCATTCCATGGAAAAGGAAGCTGAAAGAGTGAAAGAGGCAGAGGGATGGAAGACACCAGGTAGACAAGGCCCTCTAATCAGCATGATCAAAGCTCATATGAACTCACAGAGACTGAGGCAGCATGCACAGGGCCTGCTCAGTTCTGTACCAGAACTGAGTACAGTTCTGTGATTAGATTATGGCTTCCAGTTTAGCATCTTTATAGATTCCTAAGTGTGCAAAAAAGTGGATCTTAGATTCTTGTGTCTTTTTGGGGCGGGCTCATTTTCTTTTGTTGGTTTGCCTTATCCAACTTTATATGATAGTTTTGTTTTATTATATTTTATTTTGTTATATTCCAAAAAAATGAATGAATGGATGAATGAACAAACGAATGAATGAATGAATGAAAACTTAGCCACTAGGGTTAAGGCTAGCAACTGAGCTGCCATTTAGAGCTGCTGAGAGAGGGAAAGTTGGTTATCTCCAACGGTGTGATGGTGGATATATTGGGTATTTTCAACCTCATGTGCAGGAACCTCACAGTTGACCAACATGGAATGGACTCCACAGGCTTTGTTTGCTCTTGTTTGGTTACAGTGTGGTGGGTTTTCTGTTTGTTTTTTGTTCTTCTTTTTGGGTGTCTATTATTTTGTTTTCTTAGTTTTGGGGGTCTTTTGTTGTTGTATTGGTTTTTGTATCTTGAGAAAGAACTTAAAGTGAGGTAAGTAGGCAGGGGGAAGAGATCTGGAAGGACATGGGAGAGGAGAAGAATATGATCAAACTGTATTTAACTTAAAAATACTTTTAAATATTAAAAATACAATTAAAAAGTTAGTAAAAAGGATATATCATAATTCTTAGAACTCTCCTGATATTTAATTTCAAGACTAACTTAATATCATTTAGAAAAATTTTCAAACCAGATCTTTAACATCAAGGAAATGTGCTTATGAGAATTAGAAGGCAAAGGTGTATTTTTGTCCTCCATTTAATTTTTACCATGAAAATTTTATGTTCCTCTCAGTCTTTTCCTAAGTGGGAAGATTATTTAGGTGTTTTTTAATTTAAATCAAACAAGCTATGTGCTTTATTTTTTAAATGCATTTAATTTTATTTTATATGCATTAGTATGAAGGTGCCAGATCCTTTGGAACTGGAGTTACAGACAGTTGTAAGCTGTCATGTGGGATCTGGGAATTGAACCCAGGTTCTTTATGTAGAGCAAACAGTGCACCTAACCACTGAGCCATCTCTCCAGCCCCTATATAGGTTTTCTTAATTTTGTTTTTGTTAGTCTAAATTTGGGATGCCAAACCTAGAGGTTCATTTATTTTTTTTCACCTGTCAGACTAAGGGAGATTCATTGCCAAAGGACTGTGATTCAGTTCTGGCAGATTTTAATAGGTACATGTACATTTACATGTAAATGAGTTTAATACATAGCTTTTTAAAAACTATACTATGAAAATACTACAAGTAAAAACTCATTTATTCATAGTTATTCAAAGCACATTGCTCGCTACAGAAGTCATCAAAGCATTAAATAGCAGCCTATTTACATGGACAAGTAAAAATTAATCTCTAAACTTTTTACTATTGAATGGATTCATGAATCGTGGAACTTATAACCATTATAATTTAGACTCATCCTCTCTATACTTTATTAATAACGCAGTTGGACTTTTCAATAAACAAATGCACTTCCTTTTTTAGATTACACCAAATGACCATGGCTTGATTCATTAGTTAATTCCTTGGCAAGCACTATAGAAACGATTTATCCAGGCATCTCATTTACTTTTATATTTTATTTTGTTTTCACTTTTATAAGAAGCTTTTCAAATAATAAACTGGCATTTGAAATGTTACATTGATCTCCAAGTTTAAGATGCGGGGAATGTGGCCTAACTTCTCTGAGGATCACTAAGCATCTTCTCTTTCTTTCTTCTTGTTTTTTCTTTTAGTGGAGAAGAGTATTCAGATGGTCTGCCAACACCATCTCAACCTTCAGTTTCTGGATAAAGGCATGTAGAGGCTCTTTGTATTTCAGAAGACACATGGACTCTGTATTGTGACAAGTGCGGAGCATGCTCCGCAGCTGCAGCGGCAGAATCTGTGGCTTACGCGGGTCACATATACACAGCTGCTTCTTACACTGAATTCTCAGCCGGTCCGCAAGTCCCCGTGAACTTGTTCATGTTTGTCATGGCATGGTCTGATTAACTACGTCAGGAGCCCAGGAGGGGTACTCGTGCAGGTTCAACATGGGTGCTATCCAGGTGGATATGCCCAGCATTACCACAGCAACACCCAGGATATTTACTCCGAGTCCAGCTTTAACCTAGAACAGGAAAGAACATAGATGCCAGTCTCCCAGGGAGAAACCCTGCAAAGGTTTCAAAACAGAGTCACACACAGCAGAAACCTGGTTCGCAGACACCCTCAATGACCAGTGCTCATCATCAAACTAGGGATATTCTCTCTTCCATGTCAGACAGGAATCTGTCTTTATCATTTGAACAGCATCAGAGAGGTTTCTTTTTGGAATATATGTTAGTAAATCTGCCCTTGTATATAAAGGTAGAAGCAGAGTTTAACAATCTCAGTTCTCAATGGAGAAGTTTCAGAATGCCATGTTTTTAACTGTGTTCTTCAGGACTGTATTGGTTTCCCATTCAAGCACTCTTTAACTGAAATTTTGTAAAGTCAGTTCTTATCCTCTTTCTTACTGTTCCTATTTTGAAACTTTTATGTACATAGTAATTCTGGCATTATTTGAACAATCTCAAAAAAAATTTTTTTTGTACAAAGTAGATAGTTCAATATCTGTTCTTAATCTGCTTTTTTTGTTCTATTGTTTTTTTCCCCTAGACTACAAGCTTCTCATTTGTTTATATATTATCTTTGGTTGGTTATGTGATACAATAGTGGAGGACAATTTTTGTGACAGATGCTATGGCCTGAGAAAACTAAAAGTAATTGTCTCCTCAGAAAGAATATTTGACTACTCTTGAAATGTCTGTATTAAAACATGGTCTTCCAAAGCAAAAGTGAAATATTTAGCATGATCACCGTGGAGATCCTTTTCTCTGTCAATTCAAGCCACTCATTTATTTCATAAGTCTGTTTCTATTCACACACACAAACACACACACATCAAATAAGGAAGATTTTATATTAAACATATATTTCCTAACAAGATGTTATGTGCCTTGTACACAAAAATATTTCCAAAAGTCTAATTTTTTTTCTGGGATTCAGGATGGCAATCTGGGTAGGAAGAATGAGCAGGAACTCACCTTGTAATTTCATTTTTGTGACAAACACAGAATTGACTTTGATTATATACTCATTTGGGTTGGTGATGGAGATTGGCTGAAGACTAGAATATTCTTAAATTAGTTCTCAGCTACCACTATTTTTGTATTTGGAAACAAAATATGTGTTTTGTCACTTAAATTTGCCTTTATTTCTCACAGAGCCCTACAGGTGTTAGAATAAAAAAGAAAGATACCCTTGCCTTAGGCACTGATCAGAGCAAATGTTGCATAAATATTTGTGATAGAAAACCATAACGTTGTTTTGATTGATGGATTTTATTAATTCCATTTCTTCCATTTGCCTTAGCATGGCTGGATACTAATCTTGACATGTTTAAGGAGTTGTGTTAAGAAATTCTGTGCTAGCTGGATGCGGTGGTGCACAGCTGTAATCCCAGCACTCAGAGGCAGGTGGATCCCTGTGAGTTTGAGACCAGCCTGGTCTACAAAGTGAGCCCAGGACAGCCAAGGCTACACAGAGTAACACTGTCTTGAAAACTCAATAAACAGATAGATAGATAGATAGATAGATAGATAGATAGATAGATAGATAGA